CAGCCGACACTGTTGACTGGGTGTCTGCCTATGGCCTGTCTAGCATGGTGGCATCAGGATAGTCATATTTCTTTCCCGGCAGCTCAAAACTCCAAGAACAGTGGGCCCATGAAGTTTCCCAAGGTGGAAACTTCATGGCCTTTTATACCTAACCTAAGACGTTAAACCTAACTTCTTTGCTAACTTCTTTTCTAGTGTAAACCTAACTTCTTTGCTGCCATATTCTACTGGTTGAAGCACTTATAAGTCTGCCTTGATTCAAGGGGAGGGAGTTTCAAAGAATTTGCAGCCTTGCTTTATTTATTTGTATTTATTGATTGGCTGTACTGGGTCTTGTTTCTGCGTATGGACTTTCTCTAGGTGTGGTGGCCGGGGGCTGCTCTTGTGTTGTGGCGCGCGGTCTTCTTATCGTGGTGGCTTCTCCTGTTGCAGAGCATGGGCTCTGGAGCGTGTGGACTTCTTTGGCTGTGGCTTGAGGGCTCCAGAGTGCAGGTTCAGTGGTTTGTGGCGCACAGGCTTAGTTGCCCTGCAGCATGTGGAATCCTCCCAGACTAGGGATCCAACCCATGCCTCCTGCATTGACAGGCGGATTCTCCACCACTGGAGCACCAGGGAAGTTCTGCAACCTGGTTTTAAAATCACCATAGTATCAGAGTCAGAGTTGGGAAGAATTCTCTTGCAACTAATCCTCAGTGAGGATTAGACTTGAATACCTAGAACAGAAAACCCATAGAAACAGTGGCCTCAATACTATAGAAGTTTATTTCTCTCTCACATAAGCAAACCCTGGAAGGAGGCCATTTGGACTGGTTCAGTATCCACAATGGTAAGGAACTGGACTCCTGCCCTGGTGTTTCACCATTTTCAGTGCATGACCCAAGGAGGTTGGTTGAGCTACAGTCTTCATAGCCACAATCCAGCCAGCAAGGAGGAAAGGTAAGGAAGTTTCCTTTGAGGACATGACTCAGAAGCCCCATCTGACAGCCCCACTTATGGCCCATCAGTGGCACACTTGGCCATGCCTAGCTGCAAGGAAGGCTGGGAAATCTAGTCTTTATCTTGGAAGATCACGGGTCCAGAAAAACAAGCAATTTTTTTTAATAAAAAGGATTCTACTGTTAAGGAAAATGAGAAGATTGGATGTTGGCAGATATCTAGCAGTCTCTGCCACACGTTTTTATCCTGTTCTATTTTCTGTTCTGCTACTGATCAGCAGTGGGCCTGAACAAGATGCTTCCTCTGGCCTGGTTACCAAGTTCTCTGGTAATTAGGGATGAGGATGCTGCAATCTAATAAAGAAGTTGAAAAGATTAAGCAAATAAAGTGTCAAGGCTCTGATTTCAGGGAGGAGAACGGGAGCACCACCCAATCAGCCTCCTTTCTACTTTTCTGGGTGGTTTTCCCCTGGGATTTCTGGGAGCAGATTTTGAAAACTCCAAAACAGATTTGCTAAGTTCTTTCTAGCAAGAAGACCTAAAGAATTCATGCCTGTTACATTTTGGGAGTAACTTCTCTCTGCACTTAACCAGGCTGAGCCCTCCATCAAGTATTAATACTTTCCCACTGAACTCAAATAGGCGCCTGCAGAAGTGAGTGTGTGACACAAAAGTCAGCCATGAATTGGGCACTTATTCTGTGTCTGACACTGAACCAAGTTCTGGGATCATAAAGTTACCTCAGCCTTAGTGAAAACTGAAAGTGAAGTCGCCCAGTCGTATCTGACTCTTTGGGACCCCATGGACTGTAGCCGACCACGCTCCTCCCTCCACGGGATTTTCCAGCCAAGAGCACTGGAGTGGGGTACCATTGCCTTCTCCAAAGGATCTTCCCGACCCAGTGATCAAACCTGGGTCTCCCGTGTTGTAGGCAGACGCTTCACCATCTGAGCCACCAGGAAGGGCTCAGCCTGAGTCTTTTACGTTCTTTTTGTTACAAGGCCAGGTTGTGAATTAAATACAGCCCATTCCCAGGTGGCACTAGTGGTAAAGAGCACACCTGCCAATGCAGGAGACAGAAGAAATGTGGGTTCGAGCCCCAGGTTGGGAAGATCCCCTGGAGAAGGGCATGGCAACCCATTCCAGTATTCTTGCCTGGAGAATGACACGGACAGAGGGGCCTGGCGGGCTACAGTCTGTAGGGTCGTAAAAATCCATAGGGTTGTAAAAAGTCAGACACAACTGAAGTGACTTAGCACACAGTGTGGCAAGAGCATTGGATTGTGTCTCTCCCCCCCCAAAGATCTTCACAGATGTAACCAAGTTAAGATTACACTGCAATCAGGCTCTAGAATCAGGGCTGGATTAGGGTGAGGTGAATGAGGTGAGCTGTGTAAGCACAAGGTCAGATTCTGCCTTTATTAGAGTGGCCCACATCCAATGACCTTAGAAGTTAAGTAGAAGGGACAAAGAGGCAAAATCAGAAGAGTGTCATGTGAGTATGGAGGCAGAGATGGGAGTAAGGCAGTCAAGGAATGCCAAGGATGGCTGACAAGAGTGGAAGAGACTCTCTCCTGGAGTCTTCGGGAGAGTGTGGCTCTGCTAATAAGACTGATTACAGACCTCTAGCCTCCAGAACTGAGGGAATAAGTCTGTGTTGTTTTTAGCCACCTAGTTTGTGGTGCTCTGATATGGCAGTTCTTGGAAACTAATAGACATGGCCAGTTTGAGTGTCCCGTTGGCTAGGCTTTAATCCTCAGTCATTCAATCAAACAGTAATCTAGATGTTGTCTTGAAGGCATTTTATAGATATGATTAACATTTATGGTCAGTTGACTTTAAGGAAGGAGGTTGTTTAGGTGAGCATGATTTCATCAGCTAAAGCCCTGATGAGCAGAACTGAGATTGTCCTAGAAAGTAAATTCTGCCTGTGGACTGTCATAGAGTTTTAGCCTGTCCTTCCTGATGGCCTGCCCTCTAGATTTTGAACTTGCTTGACCAGTCTCCACAACTGTATAAGCCAGTTTCTTGCAATAAATCTCAATATATCTCTTACTGCTTTGTTTCTTGTGTGGCATTCTGACTAATATACAAAAGGATGATGTAAACTTCAAATACGTTTACCTCAAAAGCTATGGAATTGCTGAAGGCTTCATGGAGGAGGTGGCTTTTGGCAGGGCCTTGAAGGATGGGTAGGAGTTTGTTAGGTGGGGAAAAGCTTTTCCAACAGAGAGAACAGCCTGTGGAAAGGCCTGGAAACCATGCCTCCTCTACCCTCAGTGATAGGCTTACAGAATTTGGAGTCACATTCTGGGGGCCTCTCCGGTCAAGCTGAGGACGTCAGCACTTGTCCTGGAGGCTAGGGAGTCGCCTTTATTTTTTGTTCTTTTATGTATCTCGTTTATTTTTTGCTTTTTAAACACCGAGATATAACTTTCATGGGTCCAGTGCATAGGTTTTTAAAGAAGAACTTGGTGAATTTTTAGATATGTATATATCCATGTAATCCCCACTACAATCAAGATATAGAATCTGGGTTGGGATTATGATGAGGTGAGTGAGGTGAACTGTGTAAGAACAGGGTCAGATTCTGCTTTTAAGATTTTGATATTTTGTTCATCATGGACTTTTGGCATTCATTTTGATTTTGAAAACTATTGTTTATTTTTATTACTTAGGTTTATTTGGCCCACATTTGAATTTTCCACCTTGGAGAGAGCCTCATGCCTCACTATAGTTTCAGTCAGTCAGTTCAGTCGCTCAGTCGTGTCCGACTCTTTGCGACCCCATGAATTGTAGCACACCAGGCCTCCCTGTCCATCACCAACTCCCGGAGTTTACTCAAACTCATGTCCATCGAGTCGGTGATGCCATCCAGCCATCTCATCCTCTGTCGCCCCCTTCTCCTCCTGCCCCCAATCCCTCCCAGCATCAGGGTCTTTTCCAATGAGTCAACTCTGCATCAGGTGGCCAAAGTATTGGAGTTTCAGCTTCAGCATCAGTCCTTCCAATGAACACCCAGGACTGATCTCCTTTAGGATGGACTGGTTGTATCTCCTTGCAGTCCAAGGGACTCTCAAGAGTCTTCTCCAACACGACAGTTCAAAAGCATCAATTCTTCGGCGCTCAGCTTTCTTCACAGTCCAACTCTCACATCCATACGTGACCACTGGGAAAACCATAGCCTTGACTAGACGGACCTTTTAGACCCTATAAATATTTCCAGCAAACCTCCCTAGGGAAACCCTGGAGCCAAAGCCCAGGGTACTTAACATGAAGGGATGGCCTGGGGGCGTGTGCAATCCTGTTATGGGTGCCTATGCATGTTTTTCTCAAGGAATAGTTCATTCCTTTGATCAATTTCTTGGAGGCATCTATAAAGTGAGGAATAAGAAACAGACTAGGTATTGACTAACAGGGAGCCAGTGGAGGGTTTGTTATGCAAGATATCAAAGCAATATGTCCTAGGTCGGATACCTGCAGGCCTCAATGAAATAGCCTGCAGTCAATTAGCCTCACTGTGCCTGGGTCTCCTCATCTGTAAAATGGAGTAGTCCAATCCTCTCTTACTGGACCTGCATTCGATCTCTGGGTTGGGAAGATGCCCTGGAGGAGGGCGTGACAACCCATTCCAGTATTCTTACGTGGAGAATCCCCAAGGATGGAGGGGCCTGGTGGGCTACAGTCCATGGGGTCGCCAAGAGTCGGACACGATGGGCGGCCAAGCGCACAACAGCACAGGAGGAGATAATGGCAGTGAAGTCTGTAGCGCCCTGCACAGCGCATTCGGCCAACACTTACGGAGTCCTTAGGCCGTGCCAGGAGCTGAGCTGAGCCTATACCTTTTTAATAAAGCCCGCAGTTCGGCGAGAAAAGCCCGCGTCGCAGCTAGCCGGCGTGGGGACCCCGCAAATGCGCGTCGCCTCCGCAGGCGGGCGGGGCGGGAAGGGGGCGGGGCGCAGGTGGGGCGGGGCGGGGGCGGGGCGCGCGGCGGTTCCGGGATCCGGGTCGCGGGCTGCGCCGCCGCCTGGGGCGCGCCGGGCGCTGGCCGCAGCTGGCGGGCGCATGTTGGGGCGTGCGGCGCGGAGACGCTGCCCGCGAGGGCTGCGGCGCGGCCGGGAGGCGCTGCTGGCACTGTTGGCGTTGCTAGCACTGGCCGGGCTGGGCTCGGTGCTGCGGGCGCGGCGCGGGGCCGGGGCGGCCGAGCCTAGACTCCAGCGCTCCGGGCGGCGCGACCCGGTCCTGCCGCGGCCGCCGGTGCCCGAGGACGCTCTGGGCGCCCACGGCGAGGCAGTGCGGCTGCAGTTGCAGGGCGAGGAGCTGCGGCTGCAGGAGGAGAGCGTGCGGCTACACCAGATCAACATCTACCTCAGCGACCGCATCTCGCTGCACCGCCGCCTGCCCGAGCGCTGGAACCCTCTGTGAGTCCGCAGGTGGCGGGAGGCGCAACGCCCGCGGAGTCTCCGCGTCTCAGTTTCCGCGGCGGGGAAGTGGCGGTTTGGGACCCGGCTCTCCAAAGACCTGAGGAACTCACGTCTTGTTGAGTCACTCGCAAGTGGGCAGTGAAAGTGTTCATAGGGGGTGGGAGTGAAGAAAGTTTTTAAACTGTTAGTCGCTCAGTCGTGCCCGACTCTTTTCGACCCCATGGACCGCAGCCCACCAGGCTCCTCTGTCTATGGGATTTTCCAGGCAAGGATACTGGAGTGGTTTGCCAGTTCCTTTTCCAGGGGATCTTCCCGACCCAGGGATCGAACCCGGGTCTTAGGCACTGCAGACAGATTCTTTACCGACTGAGCTACCAGGAAAGTTTTAAAAGTGACAATTAAAAAAAAAAAATCTCGGAAACCTACAAATCTGCAGACAGGTTTAATATGAGACTGTTAGGGCGCCCTTCTTGGGTTGTAAGGGACCCCCAACCCCTAGTCTAATTCCTCCTGAAAGCTTCTGCGCTGGCTACGCTAAGGACCCATGGGTTTCATACAGGCTTCATTCACTTATCTGTGTGTGCCTGTGTGCACCAGGCCCATAACTGAACCAGGAGTGAAGGGAGCCTCCAGCAGGTGAGGTGAAAGGTGCCTAGAAGGGCAGGTCAGAACCAGCAAGCCTCCTTCCCCGTCTCTGGGAGCTGGATTCCTCAGCTTCACTACAAGGAAGACAGGAGCAGCTGGTGGGAAGGGCTCCTTCTGGCGGTGGCTCAGCCTAGCTTGCTCCTGTGGGTGACACAGCCGTGCAGCCTGTGTGGTCAGAGGCCTCATTCCTGGTGGAGCTGTTGGCTGGAGGGGTTGTGCCCACCGCTTAGTTAGGAAGGGAACAGGCTGGCGGGTGGAGCCTGGCCTATTGCCTTTCCTCTTTTGGCAGGGGTCTTCCAGGTCCCTGCTGGAGTCCCCTCCTTAAAGACTTGGCGGAAAAGAGGGCTCAGAGAGGAGATTCTGGGAGAAGCCAGTGGGACGGCTTCCTGTGCCCCAGGCACCACCCTGCCCTGCTGCTTGTCCTTCCTGCTCACAGGTGTGAGAAGTAGGCTTAGGTCAGCTGACTCGCTCAAGGGCCCAGAGCTGGGAAGTGGCTAACTGGCCCTGCGGGACACGGCCCTCCTGGCCCCTTGGGCACTGTGCTGATTCCAGGGAACTGCCTTGTGGATTCTCGGCCAGAGAGAGCATGGATGTCTGCAGGAAGAGACCCAGCGTTGCAGCCGTCGGCAAAGTGTGGGTGGAGTGTCTCTGCTGCTTTTCAGGATCTGCTCGAGTCTAGCCTGTGCTGTTACCTTAGGCATTTTCAGTGTTTATCTTCTTGAGCAGAGCTTTGTTTGTTAGGGTTGGTAGTAGTTCCTCCCCTTCAACCAAACGGCTAAACACCTTTATCTCCTTGAAACTCCAAGGGCGCTCGCTGAGGCAGAGTCCGGGGAAGTTTCAGGTCAGACTCAGGGCTCAGACCCAGTCCCTGGCAGACAAAGCCCTGGCTCTCTTGCCCATCGGCTCTGCGATGTTGGGCGAGGTACATGGCCTCTCTGAGCCTCTGCTTCCCAATCTACAAAATAAGGGGTGAGTAGAAATGGCACAACCTAGGAGTTGAAACACCTGATACCTGGGAGCATACTGTGTACTCAGTTCTTATTTTTACTACTTCCCAGTTGCCAACAGTACCCTCAGGAGGTTGCTTTTAAGAGTCATCCAGGGATCCGTCATAAAGTTTTTCTTTTCCGGGTTCCGGCTTCCTTTATCATTGGAGGTTGTGAAATCTCTTTGAAACATTGTGGGGTTTATGGTATCCCGTCTCCATGGTGACACAGCCGTCCTGTGTCCTGTCAGGATTTGCTTATAGAGCCTGCTATTGCTTTGACCCTGGGAAGTTAATCCAAACCCAGCGTGATAAGGAATGTGAAGGCCTCTTGCCTTTTCATTCCTTCAGCAAGGCCTGTTGGGTCATTCTTGCCTAGCTGGAGAGAAAGGTGAGCTTCACCTGTGTTAATCTCAGGCCAGCCAGGCCTTCTGATATAACTGAGGTGTAGCCAGTTGTGTCACGGCCTTTCATGAAGACTCACGTGTTTATTCCATACAGGCATGGAGGACCTGATAAGGTCTTGAGATTTTAGCCTGAGAAACTGCAGCAGCAGCTTAGGGGTTCAGTCAGGATCTTGGTAGGGAGAGGCTTGGAACTATAGTCAGTGACAAGCAGAGGTGTGGTTAGGATCCTTGAATGTCACAGCAGAAATGGCCCTGAGGGAGCATCCCGTCTTCCTAGAGAGGATCATCTGTGCCTCCAAAGTAACACACAGATCTGGAGCAGAGTCAGTCTAGAACCGAGATCTTTTATTCCCTCCTCCCTTTGAAGATGGAAGCAATTATTTATCTATTAATTTTAATTACCAAAACAATACATGCTCACTCTAGAAAATTTTTCATATACAGGGAAGCAAAAATGAAAAAATCATCCATTAAACGTACCACCCTGGGGAGAACCACTGTTAACATTTTGCTGTGTATCCTTCTAGACTTCCAGGTATACAAAATAGATTTTGAAAAAGATACACATGGGTGTGTGAGTGAGAACATATTCAGACACGAGTATATACAAGGCCCACACAGATTTTTAACCAACAGGGGATAAACCTGTTATCATAGGCAAGGAGTTAGGAGCTACCATAGGACTGTTTGGCTGGTTCTTCTGGTGTCTGCAAGCCTTAATAGCTGCTAGAGACACTTTGAAGTATTGACTGTAATTCCTCAAGATTTGACGTGGACCCCCGCCCTTCTGCAAGGCTCATTATTCGCACACCAGTGGATTAGCTCACAGCTCTTATTTATTTATCTTTTAGTTATGGCACTGAGTCCAGGACGATGACAGCACATCCTTGCGTGTCGTTTAGAAAGTGTCGGGTTTGAAAAACTCTTTCACAAATACTGTCTTACTTGAGCCTAGCAAAGAGAGGGGATTTTCACTCTGAGATGGTGGCAGGCCAAAGTGGGGAGTCAGGTAGCTAGGTTTGTGGCCTTGGGGAACTTTGAACAGTTTTGTAAGGGACCTTCCGCAGAACAATTAGGAAGAGTTTTGGGTCAGGCCGAGGCTGGGGCTGATGTGCAACTAGGGTTGAAAGCCTAGAGCCTGTGAATTTCTCACTCGGAAGAGGAAAGATGGGTGTTTTTGAGGGTGTGGGAGAATGCCAGGATTAGGTAAAATGGGCCTTGATGACAAGTTAAATGCAGTTGAAACTAGTGGTGAAATCACATCCAATTTACAAAGTAGTTGGTGGCCAATAATGTACCAACACTTGGGGAAAGTTAGTTTTCATGGATCAGTTCTTGAGGTAATCGTCTTCTTCATTCTCATTTGCATCCTGACCTGTCATTTCAGCAGGATAGACAGTCAGGGTGACAGCGCCCTTGGGGCTGTGCGTTTCTACCGCACATGTGTGGGGATGCCACGCATGTGCATGTCAGCTGTTGTCTGCCATCGCTGACAAGTTGTGAACCACTGGTTAGAAAAGCGTGTTAATAATACACACAGGTTTTTGCATTTCTTGAATGCTTTGCTCTGGTTTTAGCCTCATTAGTGCTATAGTTGCAGGTGTGTGTCTGAGTTTAAGGACTGGGACTTGGGTGCTAGGATGGCGAAGAGTTTCAGTATAGCTCCAAGCAGATAATTCAGCAAAAAGTAACGTTTGTGTCTTGCAGGGAGTTGGTTGGGATTTCTCTTTTTGCAGAGAGGTAGCCTGCTTGTCTGTTCTCTTAACATTACCTTTGGAAAAACACATCACACATGGGGTGGAGTTTATTAGACTGTTGTTTCTCTGCTTTCCCAATAAAGTTGTAAACTGAGGCTGTTTTACTGGTTCTGTTAGACCCACCTTGTGGTTGTCGGTATGGCATTCATTCTCTGAATCAGTACTTTAAGCCTATAGAACAGGTTCTTTTTAGTTAAAATTTTCATGATGCCTTCTCCTATCCTTTCACCTCTTCTGTGACCTTAGATTTTAGGCATGTCTCTAATCAACATGTTGCTGGATTTTGTGTTGTCACTGAAAAGAAAAATCCAGACTGACAATCTTTAACTAAATATTTATGTCCATTTATATTTACTGTGCTTAGTGAAACTTTAGTGTTTGATTATGCCATCTTATTTATGCTTTCTGTTTATTATGCTTTTTCTATGTTTCTTTTTCTTTTTTTTTTAATACTGCTTTTTTTAATTGATGGAGGTTACCCCCCCCCCCCACCGCCTGCCCCTTCTGGTTCCATTTTTCTCACTCTACTGACTTGGCAGTTATCTATTTCCAATCTTTAGTGGTAAATTTGAAAGTATATATTTATATATTCAACTCAAAAAGGTCTAAATTAATCAGTGGATCTTGGAATGCTTTAACATTGATCACTTTCTTTCCCAGTTTGTATGTCATTTTATTCCAGTATTTTAATTCTGTCTTGCTTTTTAAATCAACACATTAAACATTTTTAAAAATGCAATATTTGTTTACATTTATCCACAAGTTTATTTTTTCTTCCCACCATTCTTTCCTGAATGGTGGTCTTTGTAGCTTGGAGATCTTTCTGGAATTCTTTTCTTCTTCCTGAAATACATCATGTATTTCTTGCTGTAGACAAAGTTATTGTTGTAAACACTCAGTTTGACTTACATGAAAATGTTTTCTTTTTTTTGTTCTTGTTCTTGAAAAATAGTTAGGTTGGGTGTTTAATTCCAGGTTGATAGTTTGGCATTTGAAGATAGTATTCCACTGTCCCCTGGCTTGCTCTGTCACTGAGTTAAATTTTCCTGTTATTTTTTTTTCTTTGTCCTTCATTTGCGGTTCTCTTATTTAATCGTGATAAGCACTTATTCATGCCCTGTGTCTGCTACTCCTAGTATCCAGGTATATATATTTTCTTGTTCCTGGACTCTGAGGGCTTCTTTTGTTTTTTGTAAGCTGATCCATACATTTAAAAGTTTTTTCAAAGTATTTTATCAAGAATTCTTTGAGTGTCCTTTACTACGTGTGAAAGTGTGAAAGTGTTAGTCACTTAGTCATGTCTGTTTTTCGGCCCCATGGACTGTATCCCACCAGGCTCCTCTGTCCATGGAATCCTCCAGGCAGGAATAGTGGAGTGGGTAGCCATTTCCTTCTCCAGGGGATTTTCTTGACCCAGGGATCAAATCTGGGCAGAGCCACCATCTGAGCCACCAGGAAAGCCTAATCTTTCATACTGCCGTGAGTGGAAGTCCTAAGAAAGTGAAAGAATGAAAGTGAAAATCACTCAGTCATGTCCGACTCTTTGTGACCCCATGGACTGTAGCCTACCAGGCTCCTCCGTCCATGGGGTTCTCCAGGCAAGGATACTGGAGTGGAGTGCCAGTTCCTTCTCCAGGGGATCTTCCCGACCCAGGGATCAAACCCGGGTCTCCCGCATTGTAGGCAGAGGCTTTACCACCTGAGCCCCAGGGAAGTCCGGGGGAGAATAAGGAGATATAATAAGGACATCTGAGGGGTGCAGTTTCTTTGTTATCCTTGTTGTTCTGTCACTAAGCATGTCCAACTCTGCCACCCCATGGACTGTAGCACGCCAGGCTCCTCTGTCCTCCACCATCTCCCAGAGTTTGCCCAAATTCATGTTCATTGAGTCCCTGATGCTTTCTAACCATCTCATCCTCTGCCGCCCCCTTCTCCTTTTGCCTTCAATCTTTCCCAGCATCAGGGTCTTTCTCAATGGGTCGGCCCTTTGCATCAAGTGGTCAAAGAATTGGAGCCTCAGCATCAGTCCTTCCTTTAGGATTGCGGGGTTGATTTCCTTTAGGATTGACTGGTTTGATCTCCTTGCTGTCCAAGGGACTCTCAAGAGCCTTCCTTCAGCACAATTCGAAAACATCGGTTCTTTGGTGCTCAGCCTTCTTTATGGTCCAGCTCTCACATCCACACATGACTGCCGTGACCTGGGGGCCCTGCGGCCAGTGGAGGCGGAGTTATATATGTATATGTGTGTGTGTGTTCTTTTCCATTTTGGTTTATTACAGGATGTTGAATACAGTTCCCTGTGCTATATAGTAGGACCTTGTTATTTACCTGCTTTACTTACAGTCATGTGTATCTGCCAGTCCCACGCTCCTAATTCCTTCCTCCGTCTCCTGCGTTCCCCGTTGGTAGCCGTAAATTGGTTTTCTGTGTCCGTGAGTCTGCTTCTGTTTTGTAAATAAGTTCATTTGTGTCATATTTTAGGTTCCACATATAAGTGATATTTGTGTTTCTCTGCTAATAGTACCTACCTCCTGAGACTGTGGAGGCCATTAGATGGCTTAATACACAGCTAGTGCTTAATCTCATCCTGGGGAGATCAGTCCTGGGTGTTCATTGGAAGGACTGATGCTGAAGCTGAAACTCCAATACTTTGGCCACCTGATGTGAAGAGTTGACTCATTGGAAAAGACCCTGATGCTGGGAGGGATTGGGGGAGGAGGAGAAGGGGATGACAGAGGGTGAGATGGTTGGATGGCATCACTGACTCGATGGACATGAGTTTGAGTAAACTCCGGGAGTTGGTGATGGACAGGGAGGCCTGGCGTGCTGTGATTCATGAGGTTGCAAAGAGTTGGACACGACTGAGCGACTGAACTGAACTGAATGGAGTGCTTAATTCAGAGAAGGCAATGGCACCCCACTCCAGTACTCTTGCCTGGAAACTCCCATGGACGGAGGAGCCTGGTAGGCTGCAGTCCATGGGGTCGCTAAGAGTAGGACACGACTGAGTGACTTCACTTTCACGTTTCACTTTCATGCATTGGAGAAGGAAATAGCAACCCACTCCAGCATTCTTGCCTGGAGAAACCCAGGGATGGAGGAGCCTGGTAAGCTGCTGTCTGTGGGGTCGCACAGAGTCCGACATGACTGAAGCGACTTAGCAGCAGCAGCAGTGCTTAATTATGTCTGGATTTAGCATACCTCTGAGTACTAGACAGGTTGCATAGAAAAGCTGCCATAGCCCACTAGAAGCATCAGAAAGAACTAATTGCTTGTACTACATGAAAAAAAAATGTATTTTTCTGAAACCTAAAGATTTTTTTAATCTTTAAAACAAAGAAAAGCTAACATTTAGTTCCACATGTGCACATATCCAAAGAGAAATGGTAGAAATAATGACAGCGAGGTTTTCAAAATGAAATTTATTCAATTTAAAGAAAGGGTGAACATACTCAACAAAGACTTTTAAAATGGTCCACATCAAAAAAGTCTTTAAAAAAAGAAATGAAGGATGCAGTCTGGGCGAAGGCCCAGCAGTGGGGTTGGAAAGGCATGGAGAGATGGGAGAGGTGTTAGGTGGGGAGAAGTGATAGTACCCCCTCTTTTCTGAGTCTGCTGAGTTTGAATGTTGCAGAAATCTGAAAATCACTTTATAGTTTAGAACCAGCATCCTGCAGGTCAAGCTCATTAGGTATCATTTTAGAACCTTTTAAAGAATCTGCTGGGATTCTACTGGGTCATGGGAGACTCTGGAAGATCCCAGCAGGTTATTTGCCATTCCCCAGAGGGAGGCCCTGAGACCGTGACCTGTGTTCCATTCACTCCATCCCCAGCACCAGCCTGGGCCTGGTATACAAGTCACTAGTGGGGTCTTAATTCCTGAAACTGTGTTGTATTTGCAGGTGCAAAGAGAAGAAATACAATTATGATCAATTGCCCACGACGTCTGTCGTCATAGCGTTTTATAATGAAGCCTGGTCAACTCTCCTTCGGACAGTGTACAGTGTCCTCGAGACCTCCCCAGACACCCTGCTGGAAGAAGTCATCCTTGTAGATGACTACAGTGATCGAGGTGAGCCCCTGACTTGGGCTCTTGGAGGAGCCTGCCCTTTGGTGACTGTGCCTGCGAGGCGGGTGTGCCGCGGGTGCGTAGAACCGGCCGGGAAGGATGGGCTTCCTGCACCTCCCTGCGCCTGGGCCTGCCCTCGGGGAGCTTGGAGCTGGGTAGGGGGATGCCGACGCCACGGCAGAGTGCTCCACTGCTCAGCGCTATAGGAGGCAGAGGGGAGGTACTCACCCGCCGGGGTGCTCAGGAGCGGGTGGCTGCCCACAGTCTTGGAGGCTGGGTAGTTTGTGGACTGCAAATGAGGAGGGAGGGCGTTTCCAGTGGCGGGCACGGAATGTGGAAAGGCTTCGAGTTGCCGTGCTGTGTGGACTCTGCCAGATCTGCAAGCGGCTCAGGGAGGATGGAGAGCTGGCTGTCTCGGGAGGAGCAGGGGAGGAGCGGGAGGAGGGCGCAGGACTTAGACTCAAGGCTGAGGAGCTGGGGCTTTGTCGTGAGGGAGGAACCAAGGCAGCATTTCAAGCAAGAGACCCGTCTGCTCTTTGGGGAATCCCTCTGGACTGGAGTCTGGAGAATGGGGTACTGGGAAGCTCTGCAGGGAGACCGGGGGGCTGTGGAGGTGACCCAGGTTGGGCCGGTGGGAGGAGGGACGCTCGGGAGGCAGCATCTGCAGGCCTGGAGACTGGCTAAGCTGTGAGGAGGACCCTCGGGCTTCCGGCTGGGTCTCCGGGGAAGTGGTGGCGCCCTTTGAACTGGAAAGAGCACAGGGCTTCGGCCTTGAAGATACTGACTTGGAGATGAAATAGAAAAGGGGCGGCCCAGACAGAAGGAGGGCTGGAGCCGGGGCAGGACATTCCATTGAAAGGGTGGTTGGTGTTCCTACAGGCCTGGCCAGTGACCGGGGCCCAGCAGTTCACGTGCAGTCTGAGCCTGGCCCTTTATTATTCAGGAAGCTTTGTTTGAGTGTGTGCTGGGTGCTGGGGATTCCATGGGAAATAAGATAAATCCCTGCCCTCAAAAAACTCACATTCCAGAGCTGTGGGTTGAGATGGTCAATAAACACAGGAAGAACATAACACATGCATCACATAATACAACACACTCTCTCTCTATATATATATATATATCTATCTCACACATACATCACATAGTACAAATCTCTCTATATCTATCTATCTATCTCACACATACATCACATAATACAACACACACACTCTCTCTCTCTCTCTATATATATATATATCTCTCATAATACATCACACAGTACAACTCTCTCTTTATATGTATATCTATCTATCTAACATATACATCACATAATACAATATACAGCGTGCCATAATAGAACATGATACTATACTACAGCATGAGTAGAAAGTGCCCTGAAAGAATAATGGGAATAGGAGAACGCTTAGAGCTTGGGGACCAGGATTCCTCCAGCTGATGGAGATCATGGAGGCCTCTTTAAAGCCAAAAGCTGCAAACTCCGGGACGGTGAAGGACCGGGAAGCCTGGTGTGCTGCAATTCATGGGGTTGCAAAGAGTGAACACGACTGGAAACAACAGTATGAAGAAGGAGGCAGCCCGGTGAAGGTCTGGGCAGGGGGCCGGGCTGGGGGCAGCAGGTGCAGAAGCTAAAGCAAGCAGCCATTCTCAGCGTCAGACCACCAGCCAGTGGGGGGTGACCTGGGGGATGGGATTTCGGGGTGGATGGGGCCAGATCAGGTGGGGCCTTGGAGGACAATAGAAGAAATTTAGCTTAAATAGGAGCCTGTCAGTCGGGAGCCGCCTGAGGGCTGTTGCTAGGTCTTGGGGACTCCGTGCTGCCCTGCTGAGACAGGCTGACTGATGTTGCGGCCTGGGGGGTGAGGGTGGAAGGAGGACGGGTGCAGGGGCTGCTGCGGCCTTGCCTGGCTGCGGTTGGTGGCGTCAGTGAAGCAGGAGTCAGATGAGCTTAAGTGAGGGGAGATGTCGGGCCTTCCCACAGGGAGAGCTCTGGGTGTGGTGCTGAGCCTGCTTCCCACCCAGTCCCCGGCCTCTGGCCCCCCCTGCAGGGCAGCGCCGCTGCCCGCCTGCCACTTCAGGCCTGAGGCAGAGTCTGTCCTGACTGGTAGGCGTGCTGTTCTCACAGAAACACAAAACAACGGTGACTTAAGGGAGATAAAAGCCGATTTCTCTCTCCTATTGCAAATCTGGGATAAGAGACTCACAGGCAGGTGTGGCAGCTCCCTGGTGTCAGGGCCCGGCTCCTCCTGCCCTGAGTTTCCCCTTTCTCGAGGACGGCATGGCCCGGGCTGGCTCTTCACCTCCTGTTTACTCCTGGGAGTCTGCTTGGGAGTCACCGTTACATCACCTTGAGTAGAACAGGGTCACTTGGCAACACCTACTTGTGAGGGAGACTGGGGACATCTCTGTGGTGGGTGGCCGTGTGCTCAGCTGAAAGGCATGGGGAGAGTGAGTCGGGACAGCTGGCATTCCCCCTGGCAGCACACAAGCGAGCCTGGAGGCTGGGGCCTGCGGCAGTCTGCAAGGCGGTGAGGGACGGGGCCTGCGGCTGGAGCTGAGCTTTACCGTGAAGCTTTACCATAGCCTGTCGTGGCACCCCAGGCAAGTCACTTGTCTTCTGATTCTTGATTTCTCATCTGTGAATGGGTTTATCTACACTTAAATCAGGGCTTCCCAGATGGCACTAGTGGTCAAAAACCCACCCACCAGTACAGGAGACATAAGAGACTTAGGTTCGATTCCTGAGTTCGGAAGATGCCCTGGAGGAGGGCACGGCAGTCCACTCCAGTATTCTTGCCTGGAGAACCCCATGGACAGAGGAGCCTGGCGGGCTGCAGTCCACAGAGTCGCAAAGAGCTGGACATGACTGAAGTGACTTAGCACAGCACGTTTAAGTCAGACATTTGTGGTGAGGAATGAATGAGGTCACGTGCAGCACAGAACCTCATGTAGCAGCCAGCCTGTAGTAGGCATGTGTCTCCATTTTCTTTCCTCCCAGGCTTGTTTTAAATATACCTGTGTGGACTCTGCAACGCCCTTGATGGCTCGGAAGCGTCTGCCTGTAAGGTGGAAGACCTGGGTTCAATCCCCGGGTCAGGAAGATCCCCTAGAGAAGGAAATGGCAACCCACTCCAGTAGTCTTGCCTGGAAAATCCCATGGACAGAGGAGCCTGGTGGGCTACAGTCCATGGGGTCGCAAAGAGTCGGACACGACTGAGCAACTTCACTTTCACTTTATGTACACTCTGGTTCTGGGTCACACCGAATGGCCTAGAATCCCAGCTCCAACACTTTGCAGCCATATAGCCTTGAGCACGGAGCTTAACCAGTTTCAACCTTGGCTTCCAGTCCTGTAAAATGGTATAATAGTAGTTCTTACCTTGCAGGGTCATTGTGAGGATTAAATGATGTGGTAGGACTTGGCCCATTGCTGGCACTTGTTCAATGATAACTTCAGTTTTTAGGAAATATTTTAAAAACTGTAAAGTGCCCGAAACTTTCAGAAATGTATTCATTCAGAAGTAGACATCAGATTATTTTCTTTTTATGGGATGAAGCCACGGCTCAGCAGGCAGGAATATGGTATGACCCCTTCAGCGCAATTCAGTTCTCCTGTAAATACAAGGTTCTGTGGGGCCAAGGCTCTCCGTCCCCGTGGTGGTGATGCTTGAACCAGCAGGATTCTCCCCTCAGCCTGTATGGGAGGAAGAAGCCCTGCCCTGCGCTGTCCTCACACCCTTCCTGCAGTGTCAGCCTGAGCCGATGAGGGGTGTCAGCACTTTCCAGGATGGGGTAAGACAGCTCAAGACAGACAGAAGATTGATGCCGACCAAACCCATAATGAGGACTGGAGAGCTGCAGCAGCATTTTTCCTGTGTGTTCACTGGGCCCTGCTACTAATTAGCTTTGATTGGGAAGTCACCTCCCTTATTCCTGCTATCCACTTGTATGCAATTATATTTAGGGTTGGAAAAAAATCAGTCAACGAATGTTTGTTTTTGTTTTTTGTTTGAGTATCAAGAATATTTAGAGAAACATTTCACCACCAACAAAGCAACTCTGGGCATTTTACAAAGTTCTCCCCTTCACTGTGACTGAGGATGACTTTGAGACAAAGCCCATGTATTAATACATGTGGGGAGATGCTGTCCTTTTTATTTTCCTGAGTGGTTCCTGCCTGACCCACTGAGGGATGTAAACTGGGGCCTCTAGTTCCAAGGCCTGTGTGTGGAGTCAGGAGTCCAGGGGCCAGTTCTAGCTGTGTCCGTCCTTTCAGCTCATAAGGACTCGTTTCCTCTTCTGCAAAATGGGGTAAGCATGTCCTCCTGACAAGTTTTGGATTTGTTTAATAAGGATGAGAGACTGTAGGAGAAAGCTCTGGAGGCAGTGTTAAGGCTGTGTACTCGAGCCTAAGTCCTTGGGTTCAAATCACAGCCGCTCCGCTCTCTTGTCTGGGGCCTCAGCTCGTCACAGCCTCTCTAGCCTCAATGTTCTCATCCATAAAATGGGTACAGTAGTAGGGGCTTCCCAGGTGGCTCAGTGGTAATGAAGCTGCCTGCTAATGCAGGAGATGCAGGTTCCATCCCTGGGTCAGGAAGATCCCCTGGAGGAGGAAATGTCAACCCACTCCAGCATTTGTGCCTGGAAAATCCCATGGACCGAGGAGCCTGGCAGGCTACAGTCCTTAGGGTCGCAAAGTTCGGGACACGACTGCGTGACTGAACACACACATTCAGTAGCACTTACTTCATAGGGTGAGTTATGTGAATCACTTGGACAGTAGTAATCAGCACACTAAGCCTTCTAATGTTGGCTGCCATTATTATAATTACTGTGTCAACTGAATCATGCTTCTGAGAAAATTTCCATTAATGTAATTATAAATAAAACCCGTGTTAACATAGTTCCATGTAAATTAAAATTTTATGATGTATTACATATTAACATTTATGTAAGAATTTTCTGGAAAAATTGTGGATGGGTGGTTCTTGTGCTTTTATTTAAATGTTCACAAGTCAAGGTACTTTTGGTGGGTGGGATGGCTTTATTGAGATAGATCCACATGCAACATTCACCCCTTGCAGGAGTAGAGATCCACCTACCTGTGTGTTGAGGGGGAGCCCTTCAGTGGTTCTAGAATCCTCCACCCCTGCCTCCCCGCCTTCCGGGGGCTTCCAGGCGTGACTCCCGGCGCAGTGAGGATATCCCTGGTGCAGAACAGAGGAGGCTCCTGTCTATTTAGGCTTCTTTGTGGGACAGGGAGGCCCGGGAAGGACGCGGCTGGGGGTGTGGGGCGGTGACCCTCGTTGTCCTGCTTGCCTCTTTAGAGCACCTGAAGGAGCGCCTGGCCACGGAGCTGGCGGGGCTGCCCAAGGTCCGCCTGGTCCGCGCCAGCAAGAGGGAGGGCCTGGTGCGAGCTCGGCTGCTAGGGGCCTCCGTGGCCCAGGGCGACGTGCTGACCTTCCTGGACTGCCACTGCGAGTGCCACGAGGGCTGGCTGGAGCCGCTGCTGCAGAGGTGCGTGGGGGGGCGGGGCAGGGGCGGGGCCCCGACGAACTGGCGTGGGAGGGAGGGGTGCTGGGCTCAGAGGCTCCTTGGCCAAAGCCTCTGTCCGCTGGCGTGGGCGGGGGGGGGATGTCCTGGGGCTGGGGAGGCTGTTTAGTTAGTTAGTATATAGCCAGCACTTAGAACATGCCCGTAGACAGGAGGCCCCAGATGAGTGTTTCATTTTATTACTGCTTATTTTACACATTTATTGTAGAAAACAGTATGACCAACCAAGAAAAACTATTGTCAGTCGCATAGAATTGTACTCCTAGAGAATATGTTTTGATGTATTTCCTTCAAGCCAGCTGTCTTATCCATTATTCCAACAATGCCTAGGGCCCACCTGTAAAACTTTAAGGGACCCCCCCAAATTATGATAATTTTTTAAAAAATCAGAATGGAAAATGAATATCACAATAATGAATATAGCCTGGGTTGTCTTTATACCTATAATATAGTCATAAAAGATGGGCTTCCCTTATAACTCAGTTGGTAAAGAATCTACCTGCAATGCAGGAGACGTGGGTTCAATTCCTGGGTTGGGAAGATCCCCTGGAGAAGGAAATGGCAGCCCACTCCAGTACTCTTGCCTGGAGAATCCCACAGTCAGAGGAGCCTGGCGGGCTACAGTCCACGGGATCGCAAGAGTCGGACGCGACTTAGTGACTAAACGATCACCACCACCATAGTCATAAAACATTATTTTTAATGTCTACTTTTATGGAGTCATGAAAGCATAAATACAGCCGCATCTTCAGCGCCATTTCCCCTGCTGCCCACAGCCTCTTACAGCTCACCCTCGGCTGACTTTGCTCTCTTCTCTTACCCGTTTCCCTCCCTGTCCTACTGATCCTGCATCAGGAGCTGGGCCGGCAAGCCCTGAGCTCCTCCAGGTGCGAGAGGAAATCTAGGGAGGAGCAGGTTCTCTGCTTGGTCCCCACTGTGTGGAGTGGGTAGAGGGCTGGAAGATCCGAGTTTGTGCATTTGGAGAACTACTTTCCCCTGGCCCCCAGTGCTTGGTTGCCAAGGTCTGTCTGGAAGAGCTGGGGACCCCCCCGCCTCCCTTCCTGCATGAGACCAGGCTCTGCCCTGACACGTCTCCCGTCCTGGTCCTTCCATGCCTCGTTTTCCCTGCTCGGCTCTAATGGGCTTCAGCAGCCGCAAGGACTCACGGTTCCTCAGGCTAGTGCAAGAGTTTGAGATCACTTAAAACATAGCGACAGCTGGGTGCTCCCTCTGGAATCTGGCCTGGTGGGTTCACCCTGCCTCCTGCCTGCACTGTGCCTACAGAGGGACCCTCCAGTCCTGTCTAACATCATGGGAGGGCGGCGCACTGTTCCCTTCAGCCGATGCGTGAATGCTGTCTGGGATTCCATTCCACTCCAGGCCACCCTTTGGAGAGAGTGAGGTGGCATTCCCCATAGTCACATCCTTGTTCCATACCTGGAGTCAGAGGGATTCTCCCCTGGTTACCCAGTAGAAATAGCTGGGGAACTTTAGAAAGTCCTGGTCCTGTAGAAGACTATTTGGATCGGAATTTCTGGGGTGGTTCCTGGCCTTCTGGATGTTTCAGGAGCTCCCCAGGGAATTGGGTATGCCTCAAAGTTGAGACACTGGACTGTAGACTGTGGCTCAGGTGTGGTCTCAGCCAGGCACAGTAATCCCTTCCCTTTCGGGGCTTTTGAAAGTGGAAGATGTTCTTGGTTGTCACAGTAACAAGGTTGTGCTCCTGGCATCTTATGAGCTGCTGTTGATATCTGGGGCAGAACCATTCTTTGCTGTGTAGGACTGGACTGTGGGATGTTTAGTATCCCTGGTCCCTGGCTCACAAGATGCCAGGAAGCTCTACCCAGTAACTGCTGCAACTGGGCCTGCAGATTCTCTAACCATGATTTAGAATCCTTTACTCCAGTACTGGCTCCCCGCAGTTTTCCCATTCTTATAGAAATTAGACTACTCCTGGTTCCAGCCAGCTGGATGCAAGTCACAAGTTTATGGTTTATAGATCTCAGATTCTAGAGAACCGCCCCCAAAATACAATCCAGAGAAATCTAATGTTCACATATGGTCCAGTCTCAGTTCACGCTTCCTGGTGTACTGTCAGATGCAAAGAAACACAGTCTGGAAGCCTGCTGAAAGATAGCTGGGCTTGTAAGAATCATGGTGGAGAGAATCACTGAAGCCTATGCACAGGCTGATGGCTGCGACAAGAAACTATCACATTTTCCGCTGTATGTAACATTTAATCATAAAGAAGATTAAAAGAAAAGCATAGCTGTAGTTCCAGGGTCTCTGCCAGCCTCTTACAAACATTCTGTTAGGGAGTCCACATTAACCCTCTATGTATTATTGTTTCAGAGGCAGCAGGCTCTTGAGTGGTTAGATGGCAACACTAATGTCACACAGCAAAGAAGGGGCAGGATTAAAATTTTATTTGCTAGTTCCAAAGCAGACCCTTTGGTCTGGGTACATCTCTGTTCATAAGAAAATAATTATTTCTTGACTTTAAGATGTTTCATTGTGATTACATGAAGAAATCTCTTACAGTCTTGAGAAACTGAAAGTCTGCTTTCTGTTTTAAAAGTTAGCTTGGATTTTGACATTGTGACTCTCATAGAAGGACTCAAGTTTAACCAGAATATCTCTAGACGGAATCAGTATTAAAGCTATGGAACTTTACACATCAGGGCTAGAATCCTTATACCCGCCCCGCCTCCGCCCAGCGCCCCCATGGTGTTCACCTGCCGAGGCTGACCTGGCTGTAGACGCCTGGAGCAAGAGAAGCAGGCCTTTCTCACACAGGCGTCCCACCTCTTAGCGGAAGGCTTAGGAGCCTCAATCCTCAGGTCCCCTGGTGGTCCTCCTACTGCCCAGACCTGGCAGAACGTCAGGGTGTTCTGGTTCTTTTCAGGATCCATGAGAAGGAGTCTGCAGTGGTGTGCCCTGTGATTGATGTGATTGACTGGAACACCTTCGAGTACCTGGGCAATGCTGGGGAGCCCCAGATCGGCGGTTTTGACTGGAGGCTGGTGTTCACGTGGCACACGGTCCCTGAAAAGGAGAGGCTCCGCATGCGGTCCCCCATCGATGTCATCAGGTCGGGGGCTGCTTCTTTGGGTTCCTCACTGCGTCTGGCCAGCTTGCCAGTGAAGGCCCTCGGGAGGGATGGTTAGCTGTTGCCTCTCCTTTCATTTTCCAGAGTACTTGTTTATCTTTGATAAAAATCTTTGCTATACATGTGAATTTTATATTGTTATATATATTTTAATAATTTTGGTAAGTATGTATAACATAAAACTTACCCCTTTAACTGTTTTTAAATGCACGGTTCACTAGCGTCATACACATTCACAGTATTGTACAAGCATCACTTCTATATATTTCCATAACTTTGCCATCACCCTGGGTTGTTGTTGTTTAGTCGCTAAGTCATGTCTGACATTTGTGACCCATAGACTGTAGCCTGCCAGGCTCCTCTGTCCATGGGATTTCCCAGGAAAGAACACTGGAGTGGATTACAATTTCCTTCTCCAGGGGCATCCTCCCGACCCAGGGCTTGAACCTGGGTCTCCTGCTTGGCAGGTGGATTCTCTACCACTGTATCACCTGGGAAGTCCTGCACAGAAATTCTGTGCCCGTGAAGCAATACCTCACTCTCCTCCCCTCCTCCAACCCCTAACTGCCCATCTCTGGGTTTCCCTCTTTTATGTACCTCATATAAGTAGAATCACACAATATTTATCCTTTTGTGTCTTGTTTCTTTTCCTCAAGAAGACTCTTTCTGAGCAGTGCCGCCCAGCCTGGCTCCTGCCATCCTCTCAGAACTCGGGCTCTCACCTCTCATCTCTGTCTGTTGTCTGTGCTCCTAGAAGTTCAAGGGTTTCACTCATGCTCCTGTCTTCTCGGAGAACCATTCATTCCTCTTCTGGGCTAAATCCCCTTTGTGCTGCAGGCCGTGCCTCCTCCGAGAAGCTCAGCCCTGCCTGCCTCCGTCCCCGTCTCGTGGCTTCTTCTGTATTTCCACAGGGTCCCAGGTTGACCTCAGTCACCCACAGAGTTCTGTGTTGCCTTGTGTGATGTCCACAAGCTTCCCCAGGGCAGGGGCTATGGGGTAGGGGCTGTGGGGGACATCCAGCTGCTGGCCCAGCTTAGCTCCGGGCTAAGAGAGCGTGAACTTGGGGTGTGCTTATGTGAGTGAGTGGACTCAAAGCTTCTAGTAGAAACCAACTGTGATGATTTCCTGCTGCTTACCTCGAATTATGATTCACATGCTTCTAGATCTCCAACGATGGCTGGTGGGCTGTTTGCTGTGAGTAAGAAATACTTTGAATACCTGGGGTCTTATGATATAGGAATGGAAGTTTGGGGTGGAGAAAACCTCGAATTCTCCTTTAGGGTAAGTATAGTCTTCTGTTCCCACTTGTCCTTAACCTGTTTTTGTCTCTCTCTGGGAACGGTGGCTTTGGTAGGAGAGCCTGGTGGACTCTCCCTCTATATTGGCAGTCTGTCCAACAATCCCGAAAGAATGCAGTGGCACAGGCATCCTGTAAATACTCTTAAAATACACACTGCCTAGATTTGGGGCTGCTAAAGGTCTTGGGAGTTCCCTAGTTCTCTTACTCTACTGAGGGAGGGATGGCGGGTGGAGGGGGGAGTGACTGGCTCAAGGTCAGTCGAAGAGTGGGTGACGGACACTGCGCTTCAGCACAGGCGCCTGCCTCCTGACCCCATGCTTTGGAGCCTTGATGTGCTTGACTGCTTGCTAAAGTAGCCTCTTTATTTGGCACGTGCGTGCTTGTGTCCGACTCTCCGCGACCCCATGAGCTATAGCCCACCAGGCTCCTCTGCCCATGGTATTCTCCCAGCAAGAATACTGGAGTGGGTTGCCGTTTCCTTGTCCATTTATTTGGCACAGTGACTTTCAAACTTTGACACATGAGATTTGTTAGGGAAACTTGTTAAAAAGGCAGATTCTTAGGCACAGTCTCTGAAACCCAGATTTGATAGACTTACGGTGGGGAGTGGGTGTCTGCATTTTGTAACAAGCCCATACATTGCTTCTGCTGTGTGTGACACACAGATGCCCCTTTGGGAAAGCGTTAGCATTCTGGTGGATTTCCTAGTTAACTGAATCTTGCATTTTAAGTATCAAAACCTTATGTCGATGTTCGTGCTTTTAAATGGAAAATTTTCAAATTGAGGAATATCTTATGTGGTTTGCTGCTTTAAAAGAATTAATAAATAAGACTTTGGCCCTCCCCTGAGGACTCACGCCTCCTCCCCATTTTAAGCACCAGATGGCACCCCACTCCAGTACTTTTGCCTGGAAAATCCCATGGACGGAGGAGCCTGGTGGGCTGCAGTCCATGGGGTCGCTAAGAGTCGGACACGACTGAGCGACTTCACTTTCACTTTTCACTTTCATGCATTGGAGAAGGAAATGGCAACCCGCTCCAGTGTTCTTGCCTGGAGAATCCCAGGGACGGGGAGCCTGGTGGGCTGCAGTCCATGGGGTCGCTAAGAGTCGGACACGACTGAGCGACTTCACTTTCACTTTTCACTTTCATGCATTGGAGAAGGAAATGGCAACCCGCTCCAGTGTTCTTGCCTGGAGAGTCCCAGGGCCGGGGGAGCCTGGTGGGCTGCCGTCTATGGGGTCGCACAGAGTCGGACGCGACTGAAGCGACTTAGCAGCAGCAGCAGCTACCTTTGGTCATATGTCCATGAAAAGGCTCCAGATGACTGTGTGCTGAGTTTTGGGGTGTGCTGTTAACAGTCTTTCTGCCTCTCCCCTAGGTGTCAGGCTGCTCTGCCTGCCTCTAGAAGCTCTTCCCTTCCCCCTTCCAAACCTCTCTTCTTACTTGCTGCTTTCCTATCTCCTGTGGCTAGGAGACCAGGTAACCAGCCTGTGCTTTACCTAGTAAGTAAGTGAGCTCCCAGTGAAGTCCGCTTGGGTGCTCCTAGCCTTCGTGCATGGACTTTGGGGTCTGGGTTCCGATGGCTTATTTGTCTCTGGGGCTGTTTTCTTGCTCTTTGACTGCATCCTGTGTCCTGGATATCCCGGGGAAGTGGCCCCCTGCCTCATGGAGGGTGAGGCCTTGGCAGTGTTCACCATGACCTCTGTGTGCCGAGCCTCCTTACTGTAGGCGTTGTGGACCAGCAGCTCGCTCCCCGCTCAGCCCTATCACCCCGCCTCCTCCCCACTCAGCCCCGTCACCCCGCCTCCTCCCCGCTCTGTGCGCAGATCTGGCAGTGCGGGGGGACCCTGGAGATACACCCGTGTTCGCACGTTGGCCACGTTTTCCCCAGGCAAGCTCCCTACTCCCGCAACAAGGCCCTGGCCAACAGTGTCCGTGCAGCTGAAGTGTGGATGGATGAATTTAAAGAGCTCTACTACCATCGCAACCCCCAGGCCCGCCTGGTGAGTCCCCCTGCACACCCACACTCCTTCTGGCTGCATCCAAACAAAAGCAGCTGATTCTGGCCTCCTCCTGCAGTAGATCTGGTTCGAGAAATAGAGAGGAAATCAGGTGCTCACAACCCAAGAGGAAAACTGTATTCCTTCATTTATAATAAACAACAGACAGTTGATTCTCACTCCTCACCGTAATTATGCTCCATACAGTCACCGAACCGCAGTCACTGAATTTGGGACTGACTACTTAGCCATTGATCATGGAGGAAATACAGGATTAGGTTCCTGCAGGCCTCTTGCAGGTAGACATTTTTATCAGTGGATCAATACATAACTTGGTTTTATGTGTGCTTCTGCTTAAATAATCTATTTAATGTATACTGTTCATTGGTTGCATTGAGCTCACACCCGGGTGAATCTCATCTGACACACCTCTTTTCTCCCTCCAACACATCACAGCCTGCTTGCCCTCGGAACACTGGACAGCCCTAACTACTCTTGGGGGCCATTTTAAACAGTGGCGTCACCAACACGGTACAGAACGGTCTGACAACCATGGTGCTGAACGGTAAACAGGACACTTGCTTTCAGGGCGAGAGCTGAGATATAACCTCAGTTGGGAATGTGCACACTGGGGGACTCTCATGTCTGAGAATGACCGTGAAAGTGTGAAGACGCTGCAAGTGTTGATTTGAGTGTTAAAAATAACATTTTAACAGAGAGCCCCACTGCCACTCACAGACCACCCTCCGCACACGCCGGGACGGGGCTCCCACTGACCTGTGTTCATGTAACTAAGGGGCCATGTGGCAAGACAAGAAAGTTGGCTCCAAGGCCTCTTTCCTGGCCACTTGATGTAAGTTCCTTCTTGTGAATCTTTCCAGCGGTCCTTCAGAGTAACTTGGAGATTTTCATTCTGTGGATGAGGAAACTGAAGTTCAGAGAGAGTGATTGAGGAACTTGCCCGGGGCTCACTGCCGATGGGGGAGAGCTGGGTCCCTCCCAGCGGCATGCTCTCTGCTCTGCGGAGCCTGTGGACACCCACCTTGACCTCCGCCGTGGCCTTTCTCTGCCTCTGGGCTGCAGGGTCACTGCTTCCTCTGTCTCGCCCAAGGCTGCAGGGCAGAAGAATCTGCTCTTCCCTGTCACCCAATCTAAAACCCACAGATCGACCCCTCTTTCTGAGGGTTCCCAAAGAATAATATGTTAGAAAGAGGGGCACTCATGCACCTTTTGTCTGAATGCCCAGTGGCAGAGTGTTGAAATGGATATTTGGTTGAAGATGAGGACACAATGACTCTCATTGAAAAATGAACTTCTGGAAAGCAAGCAGAAACGAAATTTTATTCAGACTTTTTCCTTATTGTTATCATTTTGTTAAATATTTTAATTTGTCAAACTTTAATCATTTAACATCATAACACAGGAACAGTCCTATCTCTGCACTCAGCATTGCCTTCATGGTTGTACATTTGCTCTGCTAAATATCTATTTTGCTTTATTTGATTATTCAAAAATTCATAATCCTTGGTTTTGTCCATAAAACAAGTATTTATCATTGTAGCATTTTGTTCTTGCTATCAGAAGAATATATTTAGACTTGAATAGATTGGGCACATGAGAAAGTTTTCATTCATAATTACCTCTAGAATACTTACCTGTGTTTAGAAGTGAGTGCCCAGGTATCAGTGGTAAAACTATGAGATCACTATGACCTACGTGTGCTCCTGACATGCCGCTGACCTGTGACCACAGGGGGCCGGGGATGCCCGTGCAGCCCCTGGATTCAACTCCTGACCCATCAGCAGGGGCTTTGTGTCCTTCCTTCCGGCACCTCGCCACACCCCTGCAGCGAGAGTACCTGGGGACGTCATTGTTTGGGCAGCAGTATCTCCCACTGGGGTGCTGCCACGCTGTCTGAGACCGTTTCTCGTCCTCTCTGTCCTGTGCAGGCCTGGCACACAGTCGGTGCTCAATAAAGGCTTCCTGGGTGAATAAAAGTCTTTAATAGGAAGTGCTGTGCCTTGCAGGGGCTCACCGTTTTGTCCTTTTCTCAGGAGCCCTTTGGGGATGTGACAGAGAGGAGACAGCTCCGTGCGAAGCTTGGGTGTAAGGACTTCAAGTGGTTCCTGAATACCGTGTATCCAGAGCTGCACGTGCCCGAGGACAGGCCTGGCTTCTTTGGGATGGTGAGCGAGCTGGGCCTGTGCTGGGCAGTGTGCTCCTGGCCTCCAGGAGTGACCAACCCTGCCAAAGAAAGGCCCTTTTGTGGGGACAGCTGACCTCTCTCATACGCTTCCCCCTTCTCATCTGGTGTCCTTCTTTCTCCCCTTGAGTGTCTGGGCCTCAGGTCCAGAATGTCAGCACTGGAAGCATCTCACAGTTGGTGAGTACAGCCTCCTGTTTTATATATGGAAACTGAGGATCAGTTGGTGTTTCCAAGTCTTTTTTAAAACTAACTCCTTATCACATGACTTCAAATCTCAATAACTGGACCAGTTACTAATTCCCAACTCAGGGATCCACAAAAGCCATAGTAAGGAGGAGGAGTCACTTCTGTTATTTCAAAAAACCTAGGAGAAATATTGGTGGGATGAGGTCAACTAACGTGTCCAACACCTTTGGCTTTTGCTTGGAACTCCACCAACTCAGGAGGCCTCCTCGGCGCTGTGGTGTTCATCAGAAGAGCTGGTGTTCCATTCTGCAAGTTTTGTAAATGCAAAGCAGGGTATTTTTAGTTTTCATTATAAAAATGTTCAAACATGCAGAAATGCAGAGAGAGAGAGTGGTATAATGAACTCTGTCCCTGAGATTCTGCAATTACCAAGAAGATGTTGCCTCTTTTGCGTTCCCTTTCCTCTGCTCCACCTTCCCATTGACATTGTGACCCTGAATAAAGTTAAAGATTCCTTTGAAGCTCTATTTATTTATAGAATATATTTCACTAAGTAGGTGTAGTCAAACACACTATGCTCTAAAATCATTCTTTAAGTCTATCACCAACTTGATAGATTTAGCTTAATTATTATAAGTTTTAATCTTTAAGGATGTCTCCCTTTTCTTCTTCTTTAGTTTTTTTGTTTTTTCTTTCTTTTCAGACTCTGTAGTAGAGACCAAATCTTTTGAACATAGGGAACGCTTCTGAGGTTGAGATCCTTTGGTGGTCAAGAGTGCCAGCTTGGCTTCATAACATTTGAGTTCTTTTAAACCTAAGATGCCCTGATTATTCACCTCTTCTGTTCCCAGGTTCCTTCACAAAGTTGAGGGTCCTCAGGAACATGGAGGTCTGTGTTTTATGAGCCAGTGGATTATGGATTCCTTCTTTCTATATGGCTGAGTCTTATTCCCAGAACCAGGCTAGACAAAAGTGGATAAGGGCCAGAGTGGGGCTCAGAAGAAGCCAGTGAAGGTTCTTTGAAAGTGAAAGTGTTAGTCAGTCAATCGTGCCCATTCTTTGCGACCCCGTGGACTGTAGCCTGCCAGGCTCCTGTCCGTGAGATTCTCCAGGCAAGAACACTGGAGTGGGCAGCATTCCCTTCTGAGGATCTTCCCGACCCAGGCATGGAACCTGGGTCTCCTGCATTGCAGGCAGATTCTTTACCGACTGAGCCACCAGGGAAGGTCCCTTAAACTCTCCAGAAAGGGATTTGGAAGGTACTTGATGCTAGGAAAACTCGAAGGTGGGAGGAGAAGGGGACGACAGAGGATGAGATCGTTGGATGGTATCACTGACTCAATGGACATGAGTCTGAGTAAACTCCAGGAGTTGATGGTGGACAGGGAGCCCTGACATGCTGCAGTCCATGGGGTTGCAAAGAGTCGGATACGACTGAGCAACTGAACTGAACTGAGTTTCTCTCTGGAGGCTCCTGGAAGGGAGGTTGGAGCATGGAACCTTTCAGGTCTTTTTGCTCTTAGAATGATTAAAGGGATTTAGATCCAAAAGTACCTTAGAGATGACCTTAGATTAGAGAATATTGAGTGATGGAGAGAGCACTGGACTTGGGAGTCTGAGGTCCTGGATTCAAGATTCAGGTGTCCCCACCTACATGTTGTATGACCTGTGTGCAAACTACTGGCTCTGTATTATACTGTCCTTGTGCTCCACACTGGTGGACTTCTGATCTAAGAAGTGCCAGGTCTCTTAACTGGGGTATCCTTTGAAGATAATGTAATATCAGGAGCTCTTTGGTACCCAGGGCTTCCGAGGTGGTTTTAGTGGTGAGGAACCCACCTGCCAGTGCAGGAGATGCAAGAAATGCAGTTTGATACCTGGGTCAGGAAGTGGGATATGGCAACCCACGTGAGTATTCTTGCCTGTGAAATTCCATGGGCAGAGGAGACTGGTGGGCCCAGTCCTTAGGGTCACAAGAGTCGGACAGGACCGAGCACACACTTGGTACAGATGTGAGGGGACAGCCCAGCTATGCTGGACTAGCAAAGAAACAAGGCCGCACTAATGAGACATGGGAGAAGGCCATGGCAGCCACTCCAGTGCTCTTGCCTGGGGAATCCCAGGGATGGGGGAGCCAGGTGGGCTGCAGTCCATGGGGTCGCTAAGAGTCGGACAGGACTGAGCGACTTCACTTTCACTTCTCACTTTCATGCATTGGAGAAGGCCATGGCAGCCACTCCAGTGTTCTTGCCTGGAGAATCCCAGGGACGGGGGAGCCTGGTGGGCTGCCATCTATGGGGTCGCACAGAGTCGAACACGACTGAAGTGACTTAGAAGCAGCAGCAGCAATGAGACATGAAGCAGTGTGAGCTCTCACGCCATAAAGATTTCATCTCTCTGCTCCTCAGATTTATCTTCCTGAAATGTTTATGAATCATATGATATCACTTAGATATGGAATCTTTAAAAAATGATATAAATGAACCACTTTATAAAACAGAAATAGAGTCACAGATGTAGAAAACAAACAGGGTTACAGGTAGGGAGAGCAGGGGGAAGGATGACTCAGGAGACTGGGGTTGACATGCACTTACTATTGTATAGTATAGAACAGATAACTAATAAGAGCCCGCCATATAGCACAGGGAACTCTGGCCAGCGCTCTGTAGCGGCCTACACGGGAACGGAAGCTGAGAAAGACTGAATAGACGTGTGTGTTTAACTGATTCACTTTGCCGTGCGGCAGAAACTCAGGCAACGGTGTGCATTAACTTTACTCCAGTAAAAGCTAACTTTAAGAAGTGGGGGTTGTGATTCCTGCCTACGGTGTAGAACGGGAAGCACGTTTAAAGCTAGAAATGGGAGGGGCCGTCAGCTGTGAGCCTGGTTCTTCAGGCCGCCGCTCCTGGCCCTCCGTTTACCTGCCGTCACGGCCCTGGGTGGAATCTGCTGTGTGTGAACTGGACCAAACGCCGCCTTTATGTTTTGCTTAGCTCCGGAACAAGGGACTGAAAGGCTACTGCTTTGACTATAACCCTCCCAACGAGCACGAGATCACAGGACACCAGGTCATTCTGTACGGCTGTCACGGGATGGGCCAGAACCAGGTAGGGGCCCTGTGTCAGCAGCTTGACCTCCTCAGGCTGAAGGGCAGTGGACGGCGGGAGGCCCTGTGCTCAAGGGATCATCCGTGTGGGCCGTTAAAGAGGGAGATGAGGGGAAATCTGTGTGTTTTTAAAATGGTTAATATATCGCTTCTCGGCCTTTTGGCTAAGATCGAGTGTAGTATCTGTTCTTATCAGTTTAATATCTGATACGTCCTCTATCCGAGGACAATATATTAAATGGATTTTGGGGATTAGGAGTTGGAATAGGAGCTTGCTCTGTCCACTCCACGCATCGACCTGGTATTGCAGTACTTCCAGAAATGGTGTACCCCCCTTTGGGGGAAAAAAATACAAAATAAAATAAAAATAAAACAGTTAATATGTGATTTCTTGTTATAAAGGTAATATATGCTCATCATAGAACATTTAGGAAATATAAAAAGTAGAAGCAAGTAGTAAATGACAAGACCCAGAATGACCACCATTATAATTAAGATATGTTTACTTCCCGTCTTTTTTAATGCATGACCTTGGGATTATGTATTTTAAGTAGTTGTTGTAATATCTACATGTTTTATAGTCTATCATGTTCATTACTTAATCATACTTTTTGTGTGTTGTTAGACATCCTTTGAGAACATCATCCATAACAGCCTCTTGGTATTCCTTTGTGTGACTGTATTAATTACTGTTGAGGAAACCAATTCCTTCCTCCCTGTTTTTGTGGTTATAAATAACCCTGCTGCTAACATCTTTGGTCAGAAAGAAAAAATGAAGGAAAGCAAACAGCAGATCGGCCTTTCAGATGACTTACTCAGAATTAAATCTTACATGGAATTATAGGATTTGATATGTAGCGCCACATTGCAAAGCAGTTTTTAGGGCGGCTTCCTCAGTCGGGGCCCAGGTGGATATGTCTGAGGAGCGGAGCAGGACCCTGGCCTGAGGAGCAGGCACACTGCCAGGGCGGGCCGGGGAGGATGCAGCAGAGGGCAAAGCGCTGGTTTCAGGCACTCAGAGCCTGCTGTCCTGAGTAAAGTGTCAGACACTGGAGATGAAGGGCGGGCCTTCAGACTTTCCTCTAACCTGGAGTCACTCCAGTCCCGTTTAAATGTTAGGCCCCATTGTGGTCAACAGTAAACGTTCATCATTCAGACCTCAACAGCCTTAAATTTTTCAGGTTCTTCAACCCCTTTTAGAATAGCTCTCCTCAAAGGTGGTACCATCAGCGTCACCTGAATTCCCAGACCCGCCCCATCTAGTCTTGACTGGTTTTCAGGGGAGACTCGTTTGAGAAGCACTGCTCCATGTGCCTCAGGGAGCTGTCACCTGCGTCAGAATCTCCTGGGAGCAGGAGGTGGAGCGGGGTGGATGGGCAGCTGCATGTCTTGTTAGAAGTGTGAAAGTGCAGCTTCTTCGGCCCCATCTCAGACAGAGGGAATCCTCATTCCCTCTTTGGAACCAGGGCCCCGAGTCAGCCTTTCCCCGAGGCACCGAGGGTAAGGAAACCGTTGCTCCGAAGAGCAGGTCCTCCCGTTAGCCGTCCTCTGTCTGCTGTGTCCAGCGCTTTTGGTCTCCAACGCATGGTTGCATCCCCTTTATTTCGTGGGAAGGAGGAGGAAAGGACTGCAGAAAAGGAGGGGAAGTGGCTGGTCAAGGTCCCAGAGAGCCCTCAAGGGCTGGGACCAGTCTCTCTTCTCTCCTGCCGTTCTGCGCCAGCCCGGGGTTAGGCACAGCAGGTGCGGGTGACCCAGGCCATCCCCGCCCTCATGCTCTTGGAAGCGAGAAGGGCCCCTCCGTTCACGTTGGCTCCACACCCCTCCAGAGGTGTACAGCCTGCTCCGGGGACACAGGCTGGTGTTAGGGCCCCAGCACCCATGCCCCGGTAACCCCAGGTTCCCCTTCCTCTTTCTAAAGGTTGCCCTCTTTGCACATCAGAGGCTAACCGGTGCATGTTGGCTACTCCATTTCTAGTTTTTCGAATACACGTCCCAGAATGAAATACGCTACAACACCCACCAGCCAGAAGGCTGCGTGGCGGTGGAGGCAGGAACAGACGTCCTCATCATGCATCTGTGTGAGAACACCACCCCAGAGGACCAGAAGTTCATCCTTCAGGAGGTAGGTGGCCCAGCTCACGCCTGCCTTCTGTGGCCCCCCACCCCGTGGCCGGCAGAGGGGTGGCAGAGGTAAAGTGAGTCCCTAGTGCGTCTCAGGGATGCGGCCCCCACAGGAGACCAGGCACTCCACAGTGAGCCCGAGGGGCCCCGTGGCCTCCGGCGCCAGGAGCCCTGCCCTCCCTTCCTCCCTGCCCGCCCCTCTCAGTTCTCCTGTCCCCCTCACGCCTTGAGCTGTGGCTGCCTGGAATAGGAAGAGGCGCTGTCCCCGGTGCATTTGGAGGTCACTTGGGGTTCAGGGGTTCAGATGAATGAAACAAACCACCAAGTGTAAGGACATGATATTAGACCCAAGATTAAGCCACTCCTGTTGTCTAAGGCTCATCTTTCCCAGCTCTAAAGTGGGAATAGTAATCGAAGCCTTACCTACCTCCAGTGAAGAATAGGTGTGCGGCCAGAAAGAGTCTTTGGAACCTGTAAAGCTCTACATTGTTAACTTGCCATGCAATAATGAAGACAACCTCTCTGATGGAGTTGGTTCTCCATCAGGAGAGTCACTGCTGGTTTGGAATTGGGAGTTATTTCAGGTCTGAGAGGCGCTACCTCCTCCACATTTGTAAGAAGCTCATGGTGGGACTCAAACATCAGTCACATCTAGTGACTCACTAAAAAAAAAGCACTTGGGGACGTAAATCCGAAGAAAATAATTCAAAAGAGTGAGTTCACTTTTATCTCCATGAAGAGCTTTCATTCCCAGCCTGGCCCCAGGGAGGGAAAGATCCATCTGTACTACTTACAAATGAATTAATTCTAATTAGAAGTTAGAATATGTTTTATTGTAGAAAATGTTATGATCACCAATGAAATTCTCAGGTTTCCTGGAAAAGCCAGGCACTGTAGTGCTATGTGATACAAAAAGTAATAGGGAAAATATTTCTGTTAACCCCAAAAGTTTTGCCCTTCCCTTCTTTCTTCCAACAGGAAGCCATTGTAAGACCTCAAAGAAGAGTAATGCAAGGTAGAAATCATTAAATGGGTTTGAGATGCCATTAAAATTTTATCTTAAAAATCTTAAATTTCAGTGAATGTTTAAGCAAGTTTCTTTAGAGGCGTGTGAGGAAGGATGCTTTGTTTGTTTACTTTCACATTATTCTGAAGGCAACTTGTGAACACTTTTAAGGGCTTCCAGATTAATATTATTGAGCTTACAACAGAGAGAGATGGAGGGAAAAATAAACTCCAGAAACTGGGGAGAGACTTGGAAAGTTAGCTCAGCAACAGTTGGGGAAAGAGGAGATGGAGAGGCCTAGAGTGGGCCCCTGTCCTTTGGGGTTTGGAGGCTGGCATCATTTGCAGGCCCTGATTCCTCTCTGGTGCCCTGTCTCCTCACCGGTCTGTGGCTGAGCTGGGACTAAAGCAAGTCCCCTCGTTTTCCACTTAAATACAGGAGAAAGAGGGCTCCAGAGACCTAAGAGAAGTGGAAGAGATTAATAAAGGACCTTTGGACCTGATTACTCTGAAGGAAAAGAACATCAGTGGGGGTGAGATAGGGTCCTGATCAGGTGGCGCCGAGATAAAGAATCCACCTTCAATGCAGGAGATGCAGGAGACGCAGACTCAGTCTCTGGGCTGAGAAGATCCCCTGGAGTGGGAGGTGGCAGCCCGCTCCAGTACTCTGGGCTGGGAAATCCCGTAGACAGAGGAGCCTGGTGGGCTTCAGCCCGCTGGGCCGCCGAGAGTCCGCCCTGCCTGCGCACGCGAGAGGGAGATGCGGGGTCTGGGCGGTCCCGGAGAGCCAGCAGGTGGCGGCATCGGCCCGGATGGTGGAGTCCCGGCCCCGGAGGCGATCCCGGGACGGGCGAGCCGGGCTCCGGTCTCCGCAGCCTCCCCTGACGCGCAGACGGTCGTGGGCTGCCTCCGCACCTGCAGACACTCGCTGCTCAATTAGTATTTCTGAAGTGAAAACAGTCACCCTGAGCACTTAACACGCTTTAAGGAAAAGGTACTTTCTCAGCAACCGCTTACAGTTCTCTTGAACACACAATTCTATTATCTTTTGTAGGGTGGCTCTTTATTCCACGTACGGTCCAAGAAGTGTGTTCAGGCTGAGAGGAAGCACGTGAGCGACAGTTTTGTACCACTCTTACGAGACTGTACCAGCTCGGATCATCAGAAGTGGTTCTTCCAGGAACACGTGGAGTGAAGCGTCCCCGGACGCCGGAGCCCATCAGAGTGGACGGGGAACCGCCGGACTGCGTTTAACAGACACTTAGCTCAGCAGAGACAGACCCACCACGCGCTTGGCCGCTCTTCGTTTTGTAAGGAAATCATTTTGTGATTTGTGAAACGAATGTTGGCTTTAGTAAAAATGTGAACAACAATTCGGATTGATTTTGAAAACTAAAAGTGTTCCCAAATACCCTGTTTTCAAAGGGTAGTCATAAAATGTTAACTCTTGGTGCTTAGAGAATTAAAAACTTTAACTATTTTTCTATCAAGATGTATTTTCTACTGTCATGTCTTTTTATTCCCCTTAGCAAAAAGGTAAATGTTTTATTTTGGTATTTGAAAGGATCCCCAGATATGAAGACGTCTGCTTGGAGAATAGATTCATGTAATGTACTTTGCATAAACTTGACAATACCTTAAACATTGGGTTAGATTTTTCTCAGTATAGGTGTGTGGACACCGGGAAGATATTGATTCCTTCAGGTCCTTGAGATAATCTAGATTTATTTAATTAAGAACGCTCCTTGGTTATGTGTTGCTGCCGTAGTCAAAACGGCTGTTAAAGTTTACGTTAGCCAAAGAGGACTAACCAAAGCTGAAATTTCAAGGGAACAGTTTGACATAGTGGGCTAATATAAACTTCCACCACACAGAGTGGGCTTCTGACAGTGCCTAGCCGTGGCATGGATGGCGACTTTAGCAGCCACCAGGACGACTTTAAAACATGCTCCTATCAGTTTCAGTCCTCGTCACACATCAGTGTCAGGGAGAACTTTGATGCTCTTTGTGAAATTCAGCTTTCACGTTTGTTCATTGATAGTAACTGGTCACTGAGACCCATACTGGGCTTTGTGCTGCAGCAGCTGCTGCCGCTTCTCTTCACAATTACAGTTTGTGAACAATTCCAGACCTGCTGATATTCTGAGATCTTGTCATCTTGATGAAGTCAAGAGGAGTGATTAAAAAAAAGAGCAAGAGCATTGCTAATCTTCGTTTTTGCAATCAGTCAGGTGTGAGAGATGAAGACGCATGTCTTCGACTGATGAACAAGCATCAACTTTCAACTTTTGTCTCAGGCTCTTTTTTACATGTTTCCCTCTGAGAGATCCAGTTTAACAGTTACCCAGGAACAAACCCAGTTGACCTGGCTTGGATCAATCTGATGCATCTTAACCACTCTGAGCTTCATCTGTGAAATGAGAATAATGAAAGCACGCTTGTGGGGTAGTTGCAAGGACTAAGAAACATAGAGCAGGCTAGGACTTAGCTTAGTCCCTGGCATGCAGTACGAGTTCATTAAATTTCCATTTTCATAAATGCACTTAATAAAATGTGAAGCACAATAAATATCAATAGGAGTTTATTCAGAAATATTAAATAATTTAGTTATCTTATCTTTACAGGATTAAATAGCTCCTCAGCAGGTAGGAATACAGTATGAACTCCTTCCAGCACAGCTTAGTTCTCCTGTGAATGTAATATGCTGTGGGGCCAAAGCATCCCTCCTCCACTGGGGTAACTTATGAAACAGGGGAGATGCCCTCTCAGCCTGCAGTGGAGGTGAGAAGTCTTGCCCTGCACCCTCTCCCCCGCTTCCCGCACTGTCCGTCCCAGCTCCACTGAAGGGGAGCCAGCCCCTCCCAAGGTATAGGAAGACAGTTCAGGCAACCAGCAAATGAATGCCTGTCAAACGCATCGTGAGTGCTGGGAGGCTACACAAGTATTTGTGTGTGTGTTCAGTGGGCACTGATGGTAATTAGCTTTGCTTGAAAAGTCATCCCTCTTACTCTTGCCAGTGGCTTCTACTTGGTAATTTTTAGGGTGGAAGAACTAATAAAAATATTCAGGGTGTCGAGGAAACTATTTTCACAGACCGGAAGACAATTTTCAATATTTTTAGGGCGGTTGCCTTGTCTGATGGATGAGGAGTCTCGGCCTGGGTGGGTCTCCACCCGCCCCGCTTTAAGGTGTGGATCGGCCCCCAGTCCTGGTGTGTGGGGTCTTGTCCTGGGGACCCCCGGGGGGTCGGTTGCTTCACCTGCCAGCACTCGTTTCCTCATTTGCATAATAGGGATAACCATGTCCTCTGTTACGTTCTTAGTTATATTTTTAAGTTACATTTTTAGTGGTAGCCCTAAGGGATTACATTATGCTTCCTGGATTTATTGCAGCCTTCTTCACTCTTAATATTGTGTTAATTCCCATAAAATTTAGCAAATTTATAGCGGTATAGCCCCTATCTCCTCCCTTGTGCTATTATGGACATATATGTGATAGACTCAGTAACAGACTGGTTTGCTTATTGTTTTAGTAAGACAAAAAAAGAAAACCTATGTATGTGCAAAATGCAGTCTTTTATGTTTACCCACGCAATGTGCCGCACTCCACGCTCATCATTTCTTCCTGTAAATCTGAGTACGCTTCTGGTATAGTTTTCTTTCAGTATAAGGCCTCTCTTTGGTATTTCATCTAGGATAGGTATGTTAGCAATAAATTCTCTGTTTTTGTTTGTTTGGGAATGATTTTATTCTGATTTCCAATTTTGAAAGATCATTTACCTGGACACAGAATGCTATCCGACAGGTTTTTTTCTTTCAGTGCTATGAATTTGGGATTACATCACTCTAATGTCACCACTGTTTTGGATGAGAGATTATCCATTAATCATTTTGCTATCTGTATGTGATGAGTCATTTTTCTCTTGCTGCTTTTAAGATTTTCTGTTTGTCTTTCAGCAGTTTAAGATATGTCTAAATGTGATTTGTATTTATTGTACTTAGAGTTCATTGAACTTGGAATGTAATTTAACGTTTTAAAAAATAAATTTGGGAAATTTTTAGACATTATTTCTTCAAACATTTTTTCTGCCCGTCTTTTCTTCAAATTGGGTAATTTCTGTCTTTAAATTCATTGATTTCTTCTGCCAACTCAAAACTGCTCTTGAGCTTATGTAGTTATTTTATTTCAATTATTTTTCAAATCTGAATATCCATTTGGTTCGTTTTGGTAGTGTCTGTTACTGCCTTGAGATTTCCTAAATATTGACTTACTGTTAGCATGTTTTCCTTTAGTTCTTTGATTTTAGTTTTTTTAATTATTTGGACATACTTTTAATAGTTGCTTTGATACCTTTGTAACTTAGCAACTTAAAACATTAAATGTGTTGCTAAAGTACAGTTTTAGCAATTTACGTTGTCCCCAATAATTCACATCCCTTCTACATGCAAAGTACATTCATTCCCTCCCAAGGTTTCCAGGAGTCCCATCTTATTACAGTGTGAGTTCAAAGTCCATATTTCTACCATCTAAATCTAAATCTCATTAGAAAAAGGCTAAAGTCTAAATCAGGTTCAGGTCCTGGTGTGGCTCCTGGGCATCATCTCAGTGGTGCAGCTGCTGGGACACAATTGCTCTCCATCTGGGGACTCGTTACACTGAAGAGGCCGTTTATCCAACCCAACACTCCCGACATACAGCGGTGGGAAAGAATAGGGTAATGTTTATATCCTGGCTCAGAAAAGAGGCAATGAAAGTCAAAAGGAAACACAGGTCCATAATGGTTTTGAAATCAGGTAAGTGTTTGACTTTTCTTGATTCAGTTTCAAGACCTGGGAATAATCAATCCTCGGGGGCTCTTGGCTCTTTCTTCTGGGGATGTGGTTCCACCTTCTTGTCATCCTTCCTATTTTATGACAAGTAACACATCTGCCGTGGAGTAGTTTTCTGAGCCTGTTTCTTGCCAGTAGAATTTTGGGTGTCCAGCCATCTCTTCCTATTTTCTTCTTTTTCTCTGTTTCATTTAGTCCGAGCTGGCAGTATTTCTGCTTAGATAATCCTCAAGAACTTGGTGAGTCTTGCATGGATTCACTGCTTTTCACTCCACTTGACAGAAGCCACGTCCACAGATTGTTTCAAATAAATCTCCTTTTTCTCTTGGCCTCCTATTTAGATGGCTGGGCGATAATGACCTTAAGCTTCCTGGATGCCCCCGGTTTAGTCGAGAAGATCCATGACATGCACACACTCTTAATCTCTTAAAAAGGTCCTTTGTGTGACTGTGACCTTTTGATCTTTCTGAGATCTTAACGAAAGATTATACAGTCACATACTCAGCCTTTTCTCTGTGACACATTTTCAGCAGTCATTCTGACTTTTAGCATCTTTTGCCTACTGGAGAGACTGAAAATTTTCCTAAATAATTCAGTCCTGCTTAATTTTTGTGTTATGACTTCCCGTCAATCTCTCTTCTCTTGCACTTTACCATAAGCAGCAGGAAGAAACCAGACAGCATCTTCAGCACTTCTTGGAGATCTCCTTAGCTATAGAACTAGGTTCCCTTAACTATCTAATTAGGTTCATCTCTTAAAAATTCTTCATAACTGCCAGAGACAATCTGCTAAACTTTCTGCCACTATATAATATGGCTCTTTCCCCACTTTCTAATAACATGCTTCTCACTTCCTTCGTAACCTTCAGCAGCAATGTCCTCAACATTTATATTTCTATAACAGTCTGATCAAGGAAATTTAAGCTTTCTGTATCCTGGCCTGCAGAATTCCTCCAGCTTCCTCTTCCTGCCCAGTTCTAAAGCTGCTCCTACATTTTAGGTATTTGTTATAGCACATCTCACTTCCAGGTACCAAAATCTGTGTTAGTTTTCTATTGCTGTGTAATGGACTGCCATAAGCAGAGTGGCTTAAAAGAGCATAATTTATTGTCTCCCAGTTCCTGTAGGTTATAGTGTGGGCATGGCTTAGCTGAGTTCTCTGCTCTGGGTCTCACTGGATGAAATCAAAATGTTGACCGGGGCTGCTGTCTCAGCTGGGACTTGGGCTCTTCTTCCAAACCCACTGTTTGTTGGCAGAATTCAAGTCCTCGAGGTTGTAGGACTGAGAACCTCAGCCTCTAGAGGTCACCTGCTGAGAGACCATCCTGCTGGCTTTGAAGAAATCAGCTGTCAGGTCATGATGGGCC